GGGGAGTGACCAGCAATGACTGGGTGAGTGAGTGAGTGTGTGTGTGTGTGTGTGTGTGTGTGTGTGTGTGTGTGTGTGTGTGTGGAAGGTGGGAAGGAAGTTGCTGCTGGAATCCTGGGAAGGAGGGAAGAGGCAGAATGGAGTGCCCTGACCTGGATCTCTGTCTGCTCTTACCCATTACTGCCCTTTCTCTCCCAACCATGACTCTGAAAAGGGAAGCCTGTCCTTCTCCACTGGATGAAGACAACTGGTTCCTAATGTTACTTTGCTACCATCATGGCTCCATCACACACTTGTCTCCATCCCAAAATTTGAAAGGTCATGTATATCTAGCTAGTGGCAGCCCCGTGAGACAGTAGAAAATAAAATGGCTTAAAGGTCCTGACTTCTTCATTTGATTCAGAAGGCACCAGAAACTCTCTTAACCTTCTCTGGGCCTCAGTTTTCTTATCTGCTAAGTGAGAGGGGCTGCCCCAAATAAACCCCGAAAAGCCCTTCCATGCCTATGAAAACCTTCCATGTTTCCTGAGGAAGTCCTTGGGTGGCTGGGGCATGAGAGGTGGGAGTTGAGTTGGGCTTGCACCCCCACCCCCACCACAGGAGGCCCCAGCTCCAGCATAAATAATTAGGTCGCTTTTGGCAATTCAGTCAAGCTTATCTGCTTCAAACATACCGATTTATAAATAGTATCCATTATTTATGTTCTACATTAAACTCCATTGTATTTCTTTGAGATGTTACTATGTAAATTATGCAACAGAGATAAACTGATGGAAATGTTTCCATGTGTGTGAAAAGAAGGGCAGTTCCTAGTTATAGTGAGATACCAGGGGTGGGGAAGTGTGAGCCTGGGGAATGGGGGCCCTGTCGCAGAGTAATGGCCTTCCAGCACTATGAGAAGCAGGCGCTCTGTGCGTAGCAGGCAAAACGAGAGGTGTGCTTACCAACCTATTATTTCAATCACACACATGTTCTCAAGCAGCAAGTACATGATGACTGTGGTCTTCCAGAGAGCACACTCCCTCCCTCCCATTGTCACTTACTCCCCACCAGTGTCCACCCCCCCCCCCATGCTCAGCAGGACGGCTGCCATGTGGTCACTGGTCAGACAGCAGTCACCCCTTCCATCACCTTCTGTGACCCCATCCATGACACGCTTCCATGGACAAACTCAGGCCTTCCTGCCATTCCTGGCCGGTCAACATCACCCCTTTCTCTCCCATTCAAAAACACATTGGACTGCAAATGAGTGAGAGGGATAATATCTTCCATTAAAAAAAAAAATAATAAGTGCATGATTTGCAGGCCTTAGTTTTAAACTGAGAAAAGAGAAAAGCACCAAGGGAGAAGGGCAGAGAAAGCCAAGGTGAACTCCAGGGTTAGGCTGAGGCTACTGAAGACCATGAACCCGGGAATAACTATGTTTGAGGGTCACAGGGAAAGGGAACTAGTGACTTAAATAAATATCGGGTTGTCGGAGAAGTCATGACGCATTTTTGCAACGAAAAACACAGAAAAAAATGCGTCATGACTTTTCCGACAACCCAATATTATACAAGCTCAGTCTGCAGCGTTTAACAGCCTCCCACAAGCCCTGGAACCTTCCAAAACGAAGCCTGGGCAACTCATGGTAAGTTGGCAAGGGACTCACGGTGAGGTTGTGTGGATCATTCTACTTCTGATGAAAATAAAAGAACTAACACAGCCACCCCTTTCTCTAGCTACACGTTTTTCTACGTCTCGGCTTATTTACCAACTGAAGAAGAGTAAACCAGAAGGTGCTTCCCCCCAGATATTGATCTCAGAAGAGTTTAAAGATGATATTGAAAAACTAAGTTATCCCAAACACAGCTGAGCGACATCTCTTTCTAACAATTCAAAATTGCATTTCTTGGCTAGGACAGCACAACTGAACATGCTCCCCAGATATCCCATCAGTGGTCCGGTTCCAAACCAGAAGTGGTGATTTCTCTGACGGTGAGGAAAAACATGCACGTGTCACCAGGAATTTATGAAGCATCTTTATGTCTTATTCCTGTGACTTCTCTTGGTCTCCTGCCTCTGCCTTTCCCTCGCCTGTGTCTTTTCTTTAAATGGTTCCAGTTCTGTGAACAAGGCAGAAATGTTTTTTTCTTTCTGCCAAAATCAGTAATTGGTAAGTCTTAATTTGCTATTTACAGTATGTACCCAAGGACAATTTTACAGTACATCCATATGAATTTCATTTTGTCTCCCTTTTTTCCCCTGTCATCTTCATGTTTTAACCAACAAACTGGAGCCCTCAGGTTCTTCTTTCCCTTGATGCAGAACCCCGCCCCCTGAGCCAGGGGTGGAGATGGCAGACGTGCCTACCTTGCCCAGGCCCGGGGTATCCTTCACCTTGTTGACAGCCCTCAGCAGACAGGGTGGAGCCGGGGGAGGGGAGGTCTGCAGAATACCACTGAAGCTGGTGGCAAAGAGAGGTGGCTCGGCAACCGAAGATGTAGAAGGTCGATGTTTCTTCTTTTTAGAAGACAGATTTAACTTCTGGGCAGCTCTGGAGGGAAAAATGCAGAAAAGGGACAATCAGGGGGAAAGTGTGGTACAGTCGGATATGCTAGGGTTGCTTTATTTTCTTTCTCTTAAAGAACCTCCTAGTTCTTCTGGAGGTTTAACAGTCCTCTCTCCATCTTCCGTGTGTGCCCCGGAGCAGCCCCGTATTACAACACAATGAACTTAACGAGCTACCCAATCATTTATACAGCAGACAAACAGCCATAACCGTGCCTGGTTCTGCAATCCAGATTTACAAAGAATTGTTTGTTACGCACAAACACTCAGCTCACGCGAATAAAGCTGGGCATCTTTGGGGATACACAGCACTTATTAGGTTAATCACTCCATAACTTCTCTAGTCTAAACGCAAGCGGGAGAGACCTTATGAATGACCGAGAAATTCTCACACCCTGTAAAACCCAAACCAGTCCGCTGAAGAGCCGCGTGGCGAACAGTCAAGGTGAGCTCTGTACGCGCTCGTGGAAGAAAAACACACGTCCCCGTGCAATGGGGGGAAATGAATCAAACATAACACCAAATCAGGAGAAACTCCAGCCAGGGTGTATGCAGAGGGCTCAGACTTCCGGCTGCTCACGTGGAAAACAGGCTCGTCGTGGGGGTGACCTTTCACTACAAAATGCAATTCATTGCCAAGCGCAGGGAGTGAGAGGGGTCAGAGCCAACCAAAGTGACACGGAGGGTACAAACAGGGCAGGCGGGGGTGGAGGAGGTTGCCTCGTCACTAATTCGTCGGTTGTCCGCATCACCTTTCTCCTGGTTCAAATGATCTGGAACATTTAAAGCATGATCATCTTATCATGGAGAAGAGAGGAAAACAAGGCAAGAACGATGTGACCATATAGACTCATTTCTGGATGAATTCTCAGTGCTTTCACACTATACTCTTATTCTAAGAATTCCAATTTCCTTATCAAATGCCATTAAACATTTGAGCGGCTGTTTAAAAGCAAACGGACTACCGTGACTTGATTCTGCAGATCCAAACCTCGTCCAGGGAGCTCACCAATTACATAACAGGTCACAGGAGAGGCAGGTGGAAAAGACAAAATCAGCACCGTTGGCACCTTCTTCCCCCCGCCCCACGTCGTAACGATCCGGAAAAGTTAGTTTTAATTTGGTATCAGTAATTATCATGCCTTCGACAAATCCCCTGAGCTACAAAATGGCTGCGCACAAATACAGCAAATGGAAATACCATTTCAAAGCTTAATTTTTCTCAGCCCTAAAACTGAAAATTGATTTCACAAGTGTGACATACAGAGAAAGGAGCTACATGAGGAACAACAGATTTTGATGGAATGATACCCCCCCAGTCACAATCCCATGTGCCCGACTCAGGGAACTAACTCTACAGTCACTCAACCATAGGATGATGAAAATGAAGGGCACCGGAAGGAGACGTCCATAATGCTTCTTTTGCCAATCAGCGAAAAGAAAAATAGAAGTGATTTTTCTTTTTTCATGATCTCATTGCCATCTAAAATTAAAGGTGAAGCATTATTATTCAATGACGAGTCTGGTGCTTCTCTTGGCAGTTTTCTTTGCCCTTTGAGATTTTTTTCCCTGAACGAACAGCGACTCCTCCAGATGTGTGCATCAGTACCATATTCTTTGGACACCCTCCCTTTGCTCAGCGATCCCTCACTGTTTTCAAGCCAGGCTGCTTATGTCTTGGAGAGTCAGGAAGAAGGGAGAAGAGCGTGACCGGCTGATAATGGTGTTTCTCTATTTACGTTAGGACCCTATTGACCAGTGGCCAAAGGACAGGGGGGGGGGGTTGCTGTAGTTCCCACTCCCTCACCCGCTGGGGCTCCCAGTCCAAATGTGAAGACAGAGAGGAGAGTGGAGGAGGAGAAGGGACTAAAAGGCACCTTAGAAGAGGTAGTGGCCTGTTGGCTTTTTCCTTTTTCTTATCTCTGTGCCACCCATGTCCACATACACCCCACACTCAGATCCTGCAGAAGAAGACAGTGGAGGGTGGGGGCGGGGTGGGGGTGGTCTGTGAAATTAAAGCATATGAAGGACACACCCAAGAACATCGCTCCATCTCTCTCTCTCTCTCTCTCTCTCTCTCTCTCTCTCTTACAATACCAATTATCACTCTAATACTAGGTCATTCCCAATGTCATACAAACATGCTGGTATTTCTGTAATCTTAAAAATTAAAACACAAATCCTTCTCTTAGTTCCTCTTGTCCCCCAGCCAGCCGCTGTCCTGTTTCCTTGCTCATCTTTGCAGGACACTCATGGACAGTGTTGTATATGCTTGTTGTCTCCAATTTCACTCCTTCCATTCCCTATCAAGCTCATTCCAATGAGAGATCGACCCACTACTTCTCTAAAACTGTTCTTGTCAAGGCCACCAATGACCCCACGGTTGCTAAATGTGAGGGTCCTCAGCCCCATCTTACTTGACCTGTCAGAGCACTGAGTACATCTCCCTCCTTGGCATATTTTCTGCTTTACATGCCAGGACATTCCTTTCTATTATAGTTCCCTTTGTTGGTTTCTTCTTTTCTCCCCAACCTCCCAGTAGTAGGGTTCCCTTAAGCCCCAGTCCTTCGCCCCCTTTACTTCTACACTCAATCTCTTGCTGTTTTTTTTTCCAGGATCACAATTTAAATAACATTGCTATGCCTTGATTCCTACCTTTTTATTTCTAGCTTAGACCTCTTTCTGAAACTCTATATTTATTTTTCCAACTACCTCTTCAACAATTCCACTTGGATGTCTAATAGCGACCTCAAACTTTTCATCTCTAAAATCAAATTCCTAATCATTTCCTGAAAAACTATATGCCCTCAGTCTTCCTTCTTTCAAAAAATGGCAATTACATCCTATTATTGTCAAGCCTCAATCTCTGCATAGTAAGATACAGCACAAAGTAGTACCTACTATTAAACTTTACAGACTTTTAATGAAAATTAAATAAGAGTACGTGTAAAGGGATTAGCACACAGGAAGAACTTAATTCGTGGTACTTTGAAGGAATACAGTGGTAAGCAGTGGAGCCCAGACTCAAGCTCGCCTACGTGCCCAGTTTTGTGCCATATCATCTCTGAACAGGTAGCAAAACAAGCAGGGGAAATATAAGGGATTTGTAAGTGTAAGGGACGTCTTTTTACACATTGAATAAACCATTAGTGATGGCTGCTTCATGAAATAGTCAGGGCATATCAGAGGTAAGTAGGCATGCACTTGGAATATCAGATAATTTCCAAAATCTCATTTAAGGCCGAGATTCTAGAATGATCCTGGAATCTTTATTCCATTTAGGGAAACCTCTGTTGGCCTCAATGCAGTAAAACAGTGATGGAGAGGGTTATTTTGACAATCCCTTTAAAAATGATTTTCTTCTTAAAGCATGTATATAAGATAAACATATCAAGAGAATTCCAGAATTTTGAAATTAATAGAAATCACATTTTATAGCCATATATTCTATATAAGATTTTATTGTAATTTTAACATCATCATAATCAGCTGTTTAATCTCTTTTTTATATGTTCTGATTTTGAGGAAGTCAGCAGCTTCTGTGCTTTTTATATAGCATTTCAATGACATGCAGATAGGAGAAGGTTAAGGTCCAGAAATCACTCATGTATAATTGTATTATTCAGTGACACAAAGGAGAGCAGTCAAGAAAGAATTAAAAAGGTAAAGACTTGGGACTAAAAGTCTATTTTGTGTAATGAATGCCTTACATTCTTTTTTTCACAGGGAGAAAAACAAATGAGTGCATCGTTTTTATAAGATTTTGAACAACAAAACATTAATCTAAAACCCTATAAGTAATATTTACTTGTCTCCTTCTTACCACGGATAGCATCACGTATTTCCTAAAGCTATTCATCCCAGCACACATCTTTAAATATCCATGAGTTTCATTTAATTCTCCGTGCCTTATTTTAATAAAAAAGATAGTCTCTCTCACAGGATGAAATTAATATTTACTGAACACCTATAAAGAAAGTGGCACCATGCTAAGCATTATCAGGCTGTGAGGAGAACAGCAATAGTGTGAACTTGGCAAAAAATTAAACCTAGTGGGCGCAATTCTTCCCTCTGGGTTCTACCCCTCTCTCTTCATATCTTGATTCATCTCACCCAAGAGACAACCATCCTAACACATCAATATGATGATATATGAATTCGAGAATCAGTTTAGAATTGAGATGACCTTCACATAGGATGGTCACTTGTTTTCATTAGCCAGATCTTTAAAAAAATATATATGAGGTAAAGAAATATCTGGTGAATTTTATTGGTTTAGGTGGGGGGAAGTCTTAGTCCCGGTTATATGGATTGGAGGGAAATTATGGAGATTTTCTGATTTTTTTTTTTTTGCATTTGTGTGAGAGAGTATTTGACCTTGGATTTTTAGAACTGTGGGGGTGTTTCAATGGACAGCCCCCCAGACTAAGTGCATCTCGAGAATTAAATTGGGGTCTACCAACCTCAGTGTCTAGGGATTACTAAAATATCAACCTCACAATCTTCTGAGAGTTATTAGTTTCATGAAGAATACAACTTCCCTTAGGGAACAGGCAGAAATATCAGGCAGTACAGCCTTTTCTTTTTTCAAGGATTCTCTATCCTTTTAAAAATTCTGCACACCGTGTGTTGCTAACCACATCCTGAGAGCATTTCATCTTGTGTGAGCAGGGTGTTCAAATGGGGGAATTCTCGCATAGGTGGGTAAAAAGGTTTATAAGAATTAAGAGGTCATTCAAGCTCTACCAAATTGGACCCAGGCAATTGATTGGTGAGATAGCAACTGAAAAACTGCTCAAGAGGAGGCCCTCAGAACTCAGGAGGCCACATCTGCTGCACAGAAAGGGTCCTGACCCAGGAGGGGGGCGAGAGTGCTAGAATCTCCACTGTCAGCACGTAAAAGACAATCCAAGCTGCAATTTAATGTGACAGTGGCAGGGGCTACCATGGGCTCCAATGGCTTATGGGGCATTATAAAACATTTCA